CCGTTCAGTCCTTTTGCCCGTGGCCACTTGGCCCCCTTTCTCACCTCGGATGAGCTCCACAAGCTTGAACTCAAACGGGATGCCGTTCTTCTTGGCGAAGAGATAGACGGCCCGGCAGGGCTGGGAGACCAGGTCCAGGTAGAGCTCCAGCCCCATCCTCAGGGCTGCAAGGGAGAGCAAGCTGGCAACGGCAGGAGCAGAGGTGGAAGGGGAAGGCACTGCCTTGTCGCTCGGACCAGGTCTGTCTGTCTGGGAAACCCAACCTCATCCGCTCCCACCTCCTGTCATGTGAAGCACAGAGGGCTGACCTTGGACTCTGATCCTCCCCCCTCCACACACACACACCCACACACACGCACACAGAGGCTCGCTAAGGCTGATGAGGAAAAGGAGGCCCTTCGTTTGCCCCAGTGGGCAAAAGGGGTAACGACAGAGGACCTGAGGCTATTTGCAGGGGCCACGGATTTGAAGCTTTATTTAAAACACAGCAGATCAGCAGGGACATAAGATCCATGAAAAGAAGGCACAATAAAAAGAAAAGCAATACATTTCCCACACAATACAATGATTAAATGAAAAGTCCAAAGGAGAACAAGCTGCATCAAATGAAATTAAACGCATCCAAAATCACCCTTTAAAAAAAAACCCCACTATATTAACCCCTAACCTTTGACCAGTCTGCTAGCTGAAGCATCTCTTGGCCTAAAGGCTGAGAAAGAAAAACATACAGCTACCTATTCCAAGGAACAGACGACTCAGAGGAATGTGGAGCAGAACTGATCCCCAAGAAGCCAGATGGGAAAATTGGAAGGAAAAATGTAAAATAATGTATTGAAATCAATGTGTGTAACAGAAAGAGAGGGGATCAATAAAAGAAGACCACAAGGGACGAATCTCCCAGAAGGAGTCATCTAATGCATCGTGAAAACAGAAACTGCTCTCAGAATCAAGACAAACTCCGGCCCAAATCTGTAGGGCGGGCAAGGGAAGCTCCATCTTGCAGGCCCCCACCCACCAAATTCAACCGTGGCCCCTGGCAGAGTCTGAGAAACACCGGCATGGGGGGCATGGAGATGAAATGCCTCCCATCTTCCCTCAAGGACAAACAACCAAGGCAACTGGGAACAGACTCAGGTAGTCCTTCTCTGCATCGTGAAGGCGTGCAGGAGCTCTCCCTGTGGAGGCACCGAGGGCCACCAGTGGCAACCTTTTGCTGGTCTCCCTCCATTCATAATCATGCATGCAAGCTGGCCAACGCCTGGGCTATGAGTCTCCTTCCAGGACGACCGTGGGAAGGAGAAGGGGGTGCCCAACCCCCCTCCTCTGTTTGGAAAGGAACTTGCCTTTCCGGTGTGGCTCCTCCGCCTCCTAGCAAAGGTTGACCATTTGCCTTTGGTGTCTCGATCCAGGTGGACCAGTGGCCAGAGGGAGAGTCTTTCATCATCCAAAAAACATCCTTCAAAGAGCAAGCCACGTGGATGGGCTTCAGCGTGCTTAACTCAGTCTGACCAAGTGTTGTGTGACCTTCAAGACTAACAGAACTTGCAAAGCAAATCTGTTAATAAAATAAATCTACCAGTTACCTCTCTGTTAGATCAAGTATGTTACTTATTTATCTTTTAACTTCAATAAATCAATTAGCCTGAAAGGTGTCACAAGACTCTGGCCTGTTGTTCTTCGTACCTGGGAAAACATTCTGTTCTTCCTTGAGGGGAGGCTTGGTCCCCTCACAGCAACAACAACAACACCAGCAGCAGCAGCAGGAGGAGGCAGGCAGGCAGGTGGCTTGGTTCCTGATGCCCCTCTGTTAGCCCTCGGCCAGGGAGGCTGCTCTGTGCTGTCCAGGGGTCCGAGAATCCACACCATGAAAGCCAGTCCCAGCCGGGGTTCGTTCTACACATGCGTGCGCCAGCTAGCCTGCTGGGAAGGCCTCAAGACCGCTTCTCGGCTCGCTCCTCCTGTTAGGGGTAAAGAGGAAGTGAAGCCCCCACAGCCCGTGGCCCTGGGAACTATGAACGCAAGCCCTCTTTGCCCCGCCTTCCCTCTGTCTGTCGGACCACCAAGAGCGCAAGGAAGGGACACCACTCTGCCAGAGGCCCCATCAAAGGGGGGGGGCAAGACTTCTTTCTAAAAGCCCCCACTGCAGTGGAGACAGCCTCTGGCGCCCGCTAGGCGAAGGGGCTCAGCCTACCTTGACTGTGTTCTGGAGCTCAGCCAGGGCTTGCTCGTACCGTGGGAGGAGAGGCTGGAGGTGCTGGCTCTTCACCAGCTGCTGCTCCAGCCTGGGCAGGCCAGCCGCCCTCAGCATCTTCAAGAACTTGCTCTCCTGCAAGATGGAATGGTGGCTGTTGGCGAACAAGGCCCCTCCCTCCCTGCCCCTCCTGCTGGAGAGAACCAACAAGGAGCCTTCCAGAGCCCAGGAGGTGTCTGGGTGGAAGGGATCCTGGAGGCGTGACACACTTTGCCCGTCCGGTGGGATGGCTGGCCACCAGCAGGGCCTTCCCCCTCCTCCATGTGCTGGACCTTGCCTGAGGCCAGGGGCGGGGCTGTGCCCAGAGGGGTCCTCCTTGGAGGGAAACCCCAGGGATCTTATCCAGGACAGGCAAGGAGGGAATCTTCCCTGGGATCCTGCAGACCCATGGGCTGACTGGAGGGATGTGAGATGGGTCCCAGCGCTCCCTCCTTCCAGGCCGTGGGGGAGGCCGCCACCCTGGCCCTCGCCGCCAATGATGAACCCCACTGAGCACTCCAAGGCATGTGGGCCAGGGCACGGACTTCTGGGCACAGCCTTTGGGTCTCTATGGGGAGAACACAAAGACACAAACCTACCTGTGGCTTCAGCAGCAAGGTGAAGGCCAGGCCAGCCTTCCCTGCACGAGCAGTTCTGCCCACCCTGGAAGCAGATGTGCAGAGTGTCAGTTCCTGCCCCTGCCTGGATGGCCTCCCTGCCCCATGTCCACACCCGCCTGCCACCCCCCACCCCCAGTTGCAGGCAGCAGGACTTTCCTTCCACCATGAAAAAATTACCGGTGAATGTAAGTCCTGATGAACTGCGGGGCATCGTAGCTGATCACGCATTTCACGCCGGCAATGTCAATTCCTCGGGCCATGGCATCTGTGCTGATCAGCCTGGGTGGGAGATGCAAAATCCACCTATAGAACTAGGACTGGCTGCTCTCTTTGGGAACCCTCACACACACACACCCCTTCACGGCGGCAACTGCCTCTTCTGCTACCCGACACCTCACGGCCAAGAGGCGATTCCATCCATTGGTGGCATGGAACGAGCCTGGCTGACCAAAGAGGAGGGTGGCCGAGTCCTTCCTCTCTCCCACAAGCCGGGACCCACTTACAGCTGGATCTTGCCCTGCTCAAACTCCTTCAGCGTCCTCTTCCTCTGGGTCGGACTCAGCCGGGAAGAGAACTCTGCTACCGTCACTCCCCCGAAGGCTCGGAGCAGCAGGAAAAGCCTGGCAGAAAGAAGGAGGCAGGGGCTGCTCAGGCAGGCAGGCAGGCAGGCAGGCAGGGTCCCCGCGGGCCTCTCTCCCCGGAAAAGGGCTGCCCACGAGAGGCAGCCGAAGCCCCAGGGAGCCTCCGCTGCCAAGGGCAATGCTCAGAGGACATGCCGCTGAGGGGCCAACGGTCCAAGCCACCTTCTGAGCCGCTGGCACGGCCAAGCAGAGGCTGGCTGGCTGGCTGGCCTTCAAGGCGGCTCCTGCCACCAAGTCCCACCTGTGAGACGTTTCCTTGCTGTTGGCAAAGCAGAGGACACGGGAGAACTTCAGCCTCAACAAGAAATGCAGGAGGAACAACGGCTTCCAGCTCAGGCTGCAGGGCACGTAG